AAGGAAGGAAGGAAGGAAGGAAGGAAGGAAGGAAGGAAGGAAGGAAGGAAGCTTTTCTTTAAGAGCATGTTTCTCCAGCCTTTTTTTTAATATTTCCCAAAATACAGTATTTCAAATTCTTCTAGCAGGTGGAAGGGGCTTCCCACACCAGAAAAAATGGGGACAAAAAAAAGAAAGAAAGAAAGAAATAGAAGTCATGAAATCCATGAGTTATGTTTTGGCACCTACCCCATTCATGAAAACCCAAGAGAAATTAAACCAAGCGCAATCTGTTGCCATCTCCACGCTCATTATATATCATCCCAAAACCTGGACTCTTGAAAAAATGCTCACACACCTGGTGCGGGGTGTGTGTGTGTGTGTGTGTGTGTGTGTGTGTGCTCGGCTTGGGCCTTCTCAAGTTAAATTCCTACCCAAGAATCCAAATTCTGACTCAAACTTTTGTTTTTAAAAATAAGCTGGCCCTGACAGGTTGTGAAGAGGAGACAGCGCCGATTATCACGATTTCAAATTCCAGGCACCAGCCCTCCCCCCCGCCTCACATCCCACCCCTCCCCGTCTCTCCTTCCTATCTACAGCAGGATGACTAACTCTGTTTTGGAACTCTTGTTCCGCCCTCCTCTGCATTACAGCTTGCAGGAGAGTCTACGGAGGAGATTTATAAACTTGTGTAGGGGGGGGATTTTTTTTTTTCAAAAAAGAAACCCTTCCCCCTCACCAACTTTCTCACTGAAAAATCAAAGCCACCGAGTCTCCGGCACAAGGTCCAGAATTAAATCCTCACCTTTGTCAGCTTCTCTTGGAGCTCCTGGATTTTCACCTGTTGATCTGCATTGATCTGGACAAGACAGGAAGGGAAAGAATGAACAACATCGGAAGGGACCTCAAAGATCTTCTAGTCTATCCTCCTCAAGCAGGAGACATTTCGGACAAATGATTGTCCAGTTTCTTCTGGAAAGCCTCCAGTGATGGAGCACACACAAGCTGATCCCATTGATTCATTGTTGTCACTATCAGGAAATTTCTCCTTATTTCTAGGTTTCTTGGCGGTTTCTTTTATGTGGGTAAAGTGTTCACGAAGATTCCGTATAATGTTAATACGGTCAAACAGGCCACAGAAACTCCATCACGACTGCCTGTTCCCCGATCCCAGTTTTAAGTCCAGAATTCATTTGATTTTATGATTTTACTCTCACAAAATCTAAATCCAGGGAGCGTCCTCTGGCTAGTCCCTCATTGCCAATCAAACTGAGGATCAGTCAAATATTAGGTTTATTCTGGGATGCCAAATTTCCTTTTGCAAATTTGCAACTTTCTTGATTTTTCATTGAAGACTTTTCGCTTCTCATCTGAGAAGCTTCTTCAGTTCCCCAAGGCAACTGAACTTTCTTTTGTTTCTCCTTGAAGATGTTTCACTTCTCATCCAAGAAGCTTCTTCACTTCCCAAAGCCAACTGGACTTTTTTTCTTGAAGACATTTCCCTTCTCACCCAGGAAGCTTCCTCAGTTCTCAGTTCCAATTCTTCTCCAAAACTGAGGAAGCTTCTCGGATGAGAAGCGAAACGCCTTCAAGGAAAACCAAAGCAAGGCCAGTTGCCTTTTGGAAAAGCATCTCGGGGGCCATCATAATCTGGATGATTGAGAATCCCCCATAGATATTTCTACCGGGATGTTATCGCGAAGAATTCCACAAAGAAAAGAAGACTTGTAAACATACCTTCTCCAGCTTGGAATACAGCTCTCCTACTTCTGTTTTTCCTTGGTCTTTAACCTTTTAGGTGAGAATTAAACAAAACGTGCAATTTAGTAATCCGATCCAGATTAACAGAAAACTACGCAGTTTCTGGTTTCAATGTTCTTATACCCACTCCCACTTTATTGGAGAAACAAAGGTGAAAACTTGCAGGTAATTGTGATTCAAACAAAAAGAAAGAAAGAGAGGGAATCTTTCTTAAGTAGCTATCCTAATCTAATTGCAGTATTGAAAATAGACTCATAGGAAATTAATAAAAGCAGTTATTAAGGACTAATTTTGACTAGAAGAGGCAACTATGCTGAATGTAAAGGCGTCTGTTCTGATTATTTTGCAACACACAAAGTAAACAATGCCATTTTCATCATCCCCTGGGCCCTTAATATCCTATATCTTACAGGCTAAGAAATTTGTCTACTTGCAAATGAAAAATGTTTTTAGAAGCAAATTGGATATTTGGCAGTCTAAATCCCAAGTAATTCAGTCTCCCAACTCCCTTTTCAAAGAAATGCTAAGGAATCACTTCTCCTTCTTCTGTACCGCCTACCAAACAGTTCTTGACTTACGATCACAGTTGAGCCCAAAATGTCTGATATTAAGAGAGACGCTTGTTAAGTGAGTTTTGCCCCATCTTATGACCTTTCGTGCCACCGTTGTTAAGTGAATCACTGCAGTCAATAAGATAGTAACCCGGTCGTTAAGCAAATGTGCTTCCCCCTTGGCTTGGCTTGCAAAAACAAGGTCACAAAAAGTGACCCCGGGACACCGCAACCGTCATAAACAGGAGCTGGTGGCCAAGTGTCTGGACTTTGATCACCTGGCTGTGGGGATGCTTCAGTGGTCATAAGTGTGAAAATAGTGTTCTGACCTAGGCTTCCCCAAAAAGCACTAAGCAGACCCTTTGTCCTGGCAAAAACCCCTTTTATTAAACGAAGGTGAATTTCTTGCATTCACATTCAGCCAAAGGCCTGGCAAACAGTCTCTCAAGGGTCTAATGAAGAGCCCAGACCTCATCTACCTTGGAGAGCTGCCAAGTAAATATTTCCAAACGCAGTGCTGACAAGGAAGGTCGCAGCACAGAGTCTCTGTGATGCAGACAGATCTTCACCTCTGCAACGAACGAATTGTTTCCTGCACAAGCCCCCTCCCCTTTTGCTCCTCTTTTAATCCCTATGGGGGGGGGCATTCACCATCCACCTATGCCCTTACTCCTGAGTTGACTCTTGTTCCTTAACTGTTCCCTTCTCCTGGCAGCTCTGCGCATGCGCACACTGGGAACAGGCTCCAGCTTTTCTTCTGCCCCACTGATCTCTGATTTCGAAGGCAGCTGATAAGTGCCAGCCTGCCCTGGCCCCATCTCTGCCTCTGATGCAGAGCCCTCGCCCGAGCCTTCCTCAACCTCCGGGACTGACCCAGGTTCCTCCCCAACCCCCCCCACTGCCCAACTCCTGCTGCCAGCTCCGCTAGCCGCCGGCGGGCCACAACAAATAGGTCCCGAGTCACTTTGCTGTTGTAACAGTTATTAAATGAACTGTTTGTTATAAATGGATTTTCTCTTACTCTCAAAAATTAAAGTCTACAACTCAGCCATTGCTGCTTGTGGGAATGGGTTGCGCACACCTTCTACCACCGAGTCAAATTTCTCTCTGTTCCATCTGTTAGGAGACAGGCAAGATCGGAAATCAACCCGGGAATTCTGGAGGAGCTGACCTTAACAACTTTCTGGAGCCGGTTATGACACTCAGTGGCTTTTCGCTTGAAGTCTTCTGCCGCCAGTCGAGATTCCCTCAGCTCCGATTCGTAGAGATCGCTGCGTCTGCGAGCAGAAATAAGGTCTTCTTCTAGCTGATTCATCATCAACCTCATTTCTTCCACTTGAGCTTGGTACTCCTGAAGAAGAACAGAAAGGGGAGTCAGAGGTTTTGGAAATTTGTGAACAGAAAATGAAGGGGATGAAAGATTCTGGAATCACAGAGGGACTCCTAGTGAAATGTGGTACTCCATTCGTTCACTCATAAATTCATTCATAAATTCATTCATTCATTCAAATAACAGAGTTGGAAGGGACCTTGGAGGTCTTCTAGTCCAACCCCCTGCTTAGGCAGGAAACCCTACACCACTTCAGACAAATGGTTATCCAACATCTCCTTCAAAACTCCCAGTGTTGGAGCATTTACAACTTCTGGAGGCAAACCATTCACTGATTCATTGTTCTCACTATCAGGAAATTTCTGCTTAGTTCTAACTTGCTTCTCTCCTTGATTAGTTTCCACCAGTTGCTTCTTGTCCTGCTTTCAGATGCTTTGGAGAATAGCTTGACTCCTTCTTCTTTGGGGCAGCCCCTCAGATACTGGAACATTGCTATCATGTAATCCCCTCGTCCTTCTTTTCATCAGACTAGACATACCCAATTCCATCAACCATTTTTTTAATATGTTTTAGCCTCCAGTCCCCTCATAATCCTTGTCGCTCTTCTCTGCACCCTTTCTAGAGACTCAACATCTTTTTTACATTGTGGTGACCGGAACTGGATGCAGTATTCCAAGCGTGGCCTTATCACCAAGCTGTTCATTATTACACCCTCTCGAACAAGAATTATCTCTACCGGAAAAAAATATGATATAATAGATATAGTTAATGGATTAGTTAAGAATAGATATTTTTCCTCACGAAAATGAATGATAGATATGTAGAATATATAAGAATATAAGAATAATAATTATGGATAAAGATAGTGTTTGATAAATGTAAATGCAATGTGTTTGTAAGCGAAAAATTTGTATAGATGTCAAAAACGCTGTTGAAACTATGATGTTTTGAGTTGTAATGATGGAAATACAATAAAAGCATACTTTTAAAAAAGGTATTTTTCACTGGTAGAAATAAATAAGCTAAAATGAAAGATAAAGAGACAGTGATATTAAGTAGAAGAAATATAATAAACCTAGAGAATAAAACTGTGTGATGAATATGATTGTAAACATTAACTGAGTTGCACAAAATAGTTGTAACCAGACAGCACGTCCTCAAAGGGAAGAATAAAAGTTTGTAATAAAAATAAAATAAAAAAATTTATGGGGGGAAAAAAAAGAGAGTTCTCTCTACCTGTTCTTTGATTTCCTGCAACTTGCGACTCTGTTCTCTTATATCGTGAAGGAGCTGCAGTGCCTTGTCGTCCTCTTGAGAAACTTCCATCCGAGCCTGTTCCAGGCTTCTCTTTAAGCTCTGGAGAAAAAAAAAAATACAAGGTTGGACAACACAGAGGGCTCCCTTGGCCTGAGACTGGGCCCAAGCAAAGGCGGTCGGCTAAGAGGGAAGGAAAAAACAACAACAACCCCAAACCACTGTGGACGAATACATTTTGCCTCTTAGTTTGCTCTTTTCTTTTCTTTTTGGTGCAATTTCCGCCTTCTGACCTCAGGTGCAGGAAGATCTTCTGACCGAGAAGGCCAAAAATAGGCTTTTGATCCAAAAAACTCCATGCAGAATCACAGACAGTTGGTAAGAGACCTTGGAGGTCTTTCTAGTCTAACCCCCCCTGCCCTGCTAAAGCAGGAGAACCTGATACCCTTCTGGACAATCTCTTCTCGAAAGGCCCACGGCTTCCAGAGGTTAAGACCTTCTTACTGATTCATTGTCCTCACTGTCAGGAAATGTCCCCTAATTCTAGGTTGGATCTCTCTTTGGTGAGCTTCCATCCCATTACTGCTTGTTCTGCCCTTCTAGGGCTTTGCAGACCATTAAAGGTTGACCATTACATTAAATCTACTGGACCATTACTTAAAGAGATGGGCCATAGCTCAAAAGAGCTGGCCTCAACCAACCCGTCATCAGGGATAAGACTAAGAAAAGATCAGATCTAAACTGAATCCTGGGAAAGTCGCAACCATAGGAAAGACTAACTGGTTTTTGGACCAGATACACTAATTATGAAAGATTCTTAATTTCTATTTGTTGATACTAAGCCAGGGCTCCCCAAACTTGGCAACTTTAAGACTTGTGGACTTCAACTACCAGAAGTCCACAAGTCTTAAAGTTGCCAAGTTTGGAGACCTCTGTACTAAAAGTTGAATAGAATCAATCTAGAGTAGGGTCTTCAAACTTGACAGCTTTAAAACTTGTGGACTTCAACTCCCAGAATTCCTCCTCCAGTCATGTTAGCTCAGGAATTCTGGGAGTTGAAGTCCACAAGTCTTAACCTGGCCAAGTTTGAAGAGAACCACAGATTTAGGATTGTTACTCCTAAAGAATTGCCTTTAAGCTGACTTTATACTCAAGAAGAGGTTCAAAAACACCCCCATCCCTTTGGAGTTGTCCTCTGCCATTTTAAGACACGACCCAAATACAGGTAGTCCTTGACTTAGCAACAGTGCGTTTAGTGTCCGTTCCAAGTTACGACAGCACTGGGAAAAAAAGGGACGTATGCCTATGTTTCACAGCGACGACCTCTGCAGCGTCCCCGCGGTCCAAAAGCGGACTCCTGGCAACCAACTCGTACTTACGACGGTTGCAGATCTTTTTGGCAAGCAATGTCGACGGGGAAACCAGGTTCATTTGAACAACCGCGTGACCAATTTAACAACTGCCATAATTCCCTTAAGAAGCACGGGAAAGAAAAAGCCATCAAAGGAAACTCCCTTAACAAACATTTCGCTTAGCAACCGGAATGTGGGGGTCCCTATGGCTGTCGTAAGTCGAGGACTCCCGGCATTCTTTCACCTTGGTATCACATCAAGCCTTAGGCTCCCCAGACTCCCCCAAAACAGACTTCAAAGGCCTTTCAAAGAAAGATAAAACTTTCTGGAGCAATTTCTGGACGCTGCCACCAAACCTACAGGTAGGTTCCCAAATCGACATCTCCTAAAGACCCACCGGAGGGAGGGAGGGAGGGTTTCTGGGGAGCAGGGAGAGGCTCACACTGCATTCTGTGATGTAGGTAGCCAGGTCTTGTTCAAGCAGGGAGCGCTGGGTCTCAGAGGCTTTCAGTTCCACCTCCTTTTGGCTGAGCACAGCCTCCACCTCCGACACTCTCCGATGCAAGCGCGTCATTTCCTGCTCCATCTGCAAACAGACATCAAAAAGGTTTTAAGAGGGATTTTCCAGGGGGGGCGTACCGGGGAGCCGGGGAGTGTCAACCAACCCCACAGGGGGAAGGAGACAGGCGGATAGTAGGGTGCGTTAAAAGGCAAAATACCATTATTTCTGATCCTGGGAAAGTCACACTTCCTTCTCAAGGAAAAAGCAGTAATTTCTAAGTCACCCCATTCATTCACGCGGCTTCTTTGCCTTCGGTCCCTCTCCGAACCCCGGTTAGCAAAGAAGTCACAATCATTTTTTTCCCCACCTGATTGGGGTTTCTTTTAATTATTATTAGTATTATTATTATTATTATTATTATTTTTCCTGTCGTTCTCTCTTTTTCGCTCCAGAGATGGGTCACTTTAGCTTTCTCCCAAATCCATCTTGGGCCAGAAAAGGATTTGCCCCCATTATCTTTCAGAGGGACCAAGAGATCAAGCCGGATCAAAGCAAAAGAAAGTGCGGTCGCTCCCTTCGAAGTCCCTCAAAGGAGAACGGAGTTTCCACGGGTCCCCCAAGGAGTTTTTCTTTCCAGAAAGAGTCCGAAGAACGTGGTTCGTTGCAAATCAAAAGACGCGGCCACAGTTACAGAAGAAGAAAGAAGAGGAACGGGAAGAGGAGGGGGAAAAAAAACACACACACACTCCAAGACTTGGCAGTACTCAAAAAAGAGAGTTGGAGAAGAAAGAGAGCATCAGATGAAGACGGCATGTGAAGCGCTGGAAACCCCCGCCAGAGTTGGGCTGATCAAGGATCTTGGGTGGATCCAGAGCTTCTTCTGCTTAACACGGGCAGCCCTGGAGCGAGGCATGATCTAGATTCATCTCCCTCTGCCCGATGAAGAGAAACTTCTCTGCTGAAGCCGCCAACCAACGTCAACCTCTGGTAAGTCCTTTAGGCCGGAGAGGTTGTGGACTTCTGGAGCAAGGAGGAAGTCCGGCCATGTGAATAAATACCTTGTGACACTTATCCTGAGTGCCTTGCAGCTCTTTGCTCTTAAAAAGGAGTTTCTTTTCCATGGAGCTAATCTTCGCGGGAGAATCCGGACGCAAAGTAGACCTTGAAAGAGAAGAAAGAGAAAGGGAATGAACCTCAAACTCACACTGCATAGATGTGATATTGCTTATTTGATTGCTTCTTGTACCCTATGACTATTATTAAGTGTTGCACCTTATGATTCTTGACTCTTGACGAAGGTATCTTTTCTTTTATGTACACTGAGAGCATTTGCACCAAGACAAATTCCTTGCGTGTCCAATCACACTTGGCCAATAAAGAATTCTATTCTATTGTCGATTGTAATATCCCGATCTGTAGCCTAAGATATGACTTAAAGGTAAAAGTAAAGGTTTCCCTTGCACATATGTGCTAGTTGTTTCCGGCTCTATGGGGTGGTGCTCATCTCTATTACAAAGCTGAAGAGCCAGCGCTGTCCGAAGACGTCTCTGTGGTCATGTGGCCGGCAGGACTAAACACCTTCAAAGGCGCATGGAACGCTGTTCCCTTCCCACCAAAGGGGTCCCTATTTTTCTACTTGCATTTTTTACATGCTTTCGAACTGGTGGGTTGGCAGAAGCTGGGACAAGGAATGGGAGCTTACTCCGTGGTGCGGCGCTAGGGATTCGAACCGCCAACCTTTCTGATCGACAAGCTCAGCGTCTTAGCCACTGCGTCCCTAAGAGATTACTTAGAAGCCTTACAAAACTTATCCACAACCATGTTAAAACAATGCAGGATACAGAATTTCTCTACCTGTTCAGCCAAGGCTTCTAAACTCCAGCCTGGACCATTTTTTTTTAATGCAACATGCCCTCTATCACAGGAGCTCCCAAATATTGTACTGCCACAACCCCATAAATAATAATTCTGTCATTATTTATTACAACAATAAACATACCGTTATCGTTTCAACGATAAGCATAACATTTGCAAGAATGTGTCTTCAATCTACACACGTAGGATAAAACAATGACAGAACCTTGAAACAGTAGAAGATCAAAGCGTCTCGCTGAAAATAAACCATCACATATACAAAATTTAAAACCATATTTAACGGGAAGCACGAACCTCCTGAAATTTGGGGTGTATTTTCTGAAACAGGCTTTTCATTTCTCATTTCACATTGGATTCTATAGGAGAGGAGCAGACTGGGGGTGGTGTCAAACAAGTCATTAGCCTAGAATCATTACAAACAGTCTAAATCCAATCCCTCTTGAATGCTGTTGACTTTTATCTAGATACTTGTGTATAGACCTGAGCAATAAATCCTCTTAGCTGGAACTTAATGCTAGATTCTGGCTATTTGCTCTATACTGCAACAACAGTGGGAAATCCTCATTTTGCTGACGGCTTATTCAGGCAGAACGGGAATGAATTTGGATAGCGATCAGAATTTTGACTTCTGCCTCCAAACCTGGAGTCTGGACAAAATTCACTCCAGTTTTGCTTGCTTAGACAAGCCAGTTTGGGTTTCCCCTCCCTCTGCCTGGATAAGCTGGCTCCCAAGTTTTAACCAAATCTAACCAGATTCCCCCCCACCCCCCAATTTAAACATGGACGTTTCAAGGTTTCCCTTCCTGCTGATCGGCACCGAGCCTCTTTGCAAGAGGAATGGGAAGCATCACTTCAGTGTGAGCCAGCCGGGTGCTGCAGCTTCCCAAAAAGCCAACACAGTTCTGGGCTGCATCAACAGAAGGACAGAATCGAGATCACGGGAAGTGTTAATACCGTTTTATAAGGCCTTGGCAATAAGGCCACCCTTGGAATACGGCATCCACTTTGGTCGCCACAATGTCAAAAAGCTGTTGAGACTCTAGAAAGAGTGCAGAGAAGAGCAACCAAGAGGGTGAGGGGGACTGGAGGCTTAACAACTGCAGTGATTCACTTAACAAGCCTGGCAAGAAATATGGGGGAAATTTCACTTAAAAACTGTCTTGCTTAGTGATGGAGATTTGCGCTCAACTGCGAACATAAATCAAGGACTATCTGTATGGAAAGCCAGAGTTGAGCCTGCTTTCCAGTTCTGTTTGGATAAGCCAATCAATCAATCAATCCATCCATCCATCCATCCATCCATGCATCTATCCATCCATCCATGCATCTATCCATCCATCCATCCATCCATCCATCCATGCAACCATCCATGCATTGATCTATCTATCTATCTATCTATCTATCTATCTATCTATCTATCTATC